CAGAGGGAGAAGCAGACCCCCCGCCGAGCAGGGAGCCCGACGTGGGACTCGATCCCGGGACTCCAGGATCATGACCCGAGCCGAAGGCAGTCGCCTAACCAACTGAGCCACCCAGGCGCCCAGGGAAGGCATTTCTGATGAGGTAACATTTAAGCAAGGACTGAAGGAAATGAGCCATTTACGTATCTAGGGGAAAAGTATTCCAGGCAGGGAAAATAATGTAAAGACTCCGAGACAGGAGTGAGCTTAATCTGTCTGAACAGAGAGGCCAATGTGGCTGAAGCAGGGTGAGTGAGAGAGGGAAACAGGCAATGAGCACACAGGAATGGCTCGGAGTTAGATTAGGCAGAGCAGCTGCCCAAGAGAATGCTCCGTGATAATGGAAGTGCTCTTTATGGCAGCTGCTTGCCACATGTGACTATGGAGAACTTCAAATGTGGCTAGTGGGAAGGAGGAACTAATTTTTAATTTTATTTACTTTTAGTTTATGAATCCAAATTTAAATAGCTACATGTGGCTAGCAGGTACCATACCAGGACAGAGGGAGAACCAGGATAAGCCAAGGTAAGGCTGTGAGTTCAGTGGGAGTCAAACAGGAAGCCACCAGAGGGTTTGAAGAGATAAGTGATGTGTTTGATTTAGGTTTAAAGGATCATTGGTGGTGCTATTTCCAAACAGACTATTAGGTATTTGTGAGAGTGGATGGACAAGAACAAAATCAGGAGTGTGAGAGAAGGCAGTGGTTTGAACAACAGTGGTTGGTAGCAGTGGAAGAGGAAAGAAGTTAGATTCAGAATTTATTTTGACACATACATAATTTAAATGTACATGCCACTGGTTGAAATGTGATACAAATGGAGTAAACCGAAAATATTCCTAAGCTTAAATGTTTTCACCAAAGCTACCTGAAGAGAATATAAAAGACCCACCCTGTATGTCCCAATTCCTTTCAATATAATCATGAAATAATGGTAACACCTCTGAAATTTTATAAGATTGGTTCTCTATAGAACCAGACTTTTCTTAACTGTACATACAGTAAAAAGAGCAAAATTGAGTTTTGAATCTTAATTCTCAATAATACTTAGTATTTTCTCATTATATTTTACTTTGGCCAACTTAAAAAGACAAATATACTAACCTTAATAAAAATGGATCTTAACTGAAGAGCCACTAGCTTCTTTGAAGGCAATGAATATACTACAAAGAAAAAAATGAAATCATAAGATACTTAATATGATGGAGTTATACAAGTGAAAATACTAACATAAAAACTAAATTGAATTGTAAGAACTTTTATACCTAATATTTTCAATAAATATAAAACATATGAACTGTATCATTCAGTTAAAATAAAACATTTTGGAAGTACCTTAAAATGCACCTGTGGGCTTTATTCTATGGAAGAGATTCATTTCTGACAAGTTAATGGTTTGTTTATTTTATTTTAATTGGTTTTAGAGGTCGGGGGCAGAGGGAGAGAAAGAATCTTAAGCGAGCTCCATGCCCACTGTGGAGTCCAATGTGGGGCTTGATCTCACAACCCTGACATCATGACCTGTGTCAAAATCAAGAGTTAGACATTTAATGGAGCCACACAGGCGCCCCTGACAAGAGAACTGTTAAGAAAATACCAAAAATTGGGGCGCCTGGGTGGCTCAGTTGGTTAAGTGACTGCC